GCAGGAAAAGAATGATACCAAGTGAATTATGGTATCTCTGTTACTTTGCCTTCAAATGAAGACCATGGAAGGGAATTTGGCAGAATTGCTCTGTATTTTACGAGGGTGTGGCTGAAATTCGACTCGGCATTTTAAGGCTAAGTGTTAAGTGTGGGTTGTGGTAAATAGTAAAAGGTTGCTCGTGTTTTAACTACCTTGGAATACAGCATTATAGCTGATGACTACTCAGCCACACAACATTTTTTTTCTATTTTAATCAAATGATTTAAAATTTTTAGGAAAATGTTTTGCTTATGGAAATGAGGGAATATTGGCCTTGACTTAAGCATGTATTGTACAGACTGGCACACCCGCTCCTCCTTCCCCTTGAGCCCCCCTTCCCGGTCACATTGTTATTGCTGGAGCCCTGGGCAGCCAACGTTTCTAAAAGTGCAAATGCTTTTCTGGAGTAGAGATGGCTGACGTTGCACTGGTTTTGTTACATTCACAACAGAGCTAAACCAAACGCAAACAATTCATACATGATTTGAGCTCTTCTGTAGGTGTCCCGATATCAAAAGCTTCAGGCACCAGTTTACTGTGTAAACTGGTCCAAAGCTCTGTGGTCCCTGGGTCTTTTCACAGCAATGCCATGTAGCGGAGGAGGTTGCCTCCTCCCAGTCAGAGAAAGGGGCTGTACCCCCATCCACAGCTAAACTGCCCCCAGGGAATATGGCCCGCTGGCCTGAGTGCTGCAGGAGATATTTGTGTGTCAAGGGAACACAGCTCAAGTAAATGTTGGGATTGAAACGCTTCCTTATCCTAGTTGCACAGAAAGCGTGGCTTGAGATTTGTTTTTTCCAGACTTTTTCTATGGGTGGATAGAAAGGGGAGGGAAGAAGGTAAGTGGCAGCAAATGAGTCCCAGCATCATCTGGGAGGCTGTCAAAGGATCTGCTAGCCCTGAAGGCAAAGGTTTTTGTGCAAGAGCTTTAGTAGAACAAGATTATCTGGAAACGCTGCCATGGAGCGTGTTAGTGACCTTTCTGGTGCTGTACGCTGTCCGTAGGCCTGACAGCTGGGGCTGTTGTGTTCTTTCTCTTTGTCACTTTACCTCTTGCATGCTCATGTCAACAAGCAAAGCTGCTTGCTTCATCCTCAAGTTGAAGGATTTTACAGACATTTCTTAAGTTGCCCTGAGCATCTCTAATGAAAAAA